TCCCAAGTGTGGATGACTCAGGTCCAGTATGGATCTTTATTATTATTTGTAAATAATAATGTAACCTGCATGTTATTGTACTGTATCATAACATTTGCTCATTTACCTACAGAATTTCACAAATATTTTTGATAAAAAACTATTTTTATGACACATTTCTATTTTAACGAGGAAATTCCAAGTATCAGTATTCCCCGATAAAACAAGTCGATTTACTTTATACGTACACTGATAACTAAAAGTTATTATTATTATTATTATTATTTTTTTTTTTTATATAAAATATTTTATTTCGTAAACAAAACGCAACGCAAAACAATCGATTGATTGTAAAATACGTGTTTATAAACCGAGTATAGCCTAGAAAACTGATAGGTAAGGTCAAAGTTCTTGTAACATGATGCGTAAGCGGCGCAGAATCTTTACATGTGCAGCAAACAGACGCGCTCGCTCGCGACGACAGACTCGTCTCAGACGATCGGTCTTAGTGGCTTGGGTCCAGCGACAATCGAGGGTTGCATTGGCGTTGTTTGCGGCTGATGTTGTATGCTGCTGCTGATACGCGTGACCGCAGGTGGCGACGATTCCTGCAACGGTGTCACTGAAGCTGCACGACTGCTACTCGGTGTCGTCGTGGTTGGTATCAGGGACACGACCTCCGGGCTTGAGGCTTGTCCATTGTCTTCATAAACTCGCTCCTGCACAGATCGAGATATTGTTTTTTTTTTTTTTTGTTTTTTTTTCTTACACTACTTGACTTGTTTTGTTTATCTCCGTTTCGTATACGCATTTACATTGCTTGCATTATACAGCGCACTTTTATTCATTATTTTTGTCAAACTTTCTGTCATCAACATGCCGGTAGTAGAAATAATAATAGTAAAACTAATAATAATTACAACAGAAATAATAATGAAAACAATTTAGGTGAGTTCAGTTTCACGTGTGTTTTGGACATGCTATTTTCGTGCAAGTTGGTTATATCTAGCATTCGATTCATTAAATATACCATGTACAACGGCACTATAACGTATACTTTAACTATTTTCTTACATCGCCGATTTACTTGGATTAAAATTTACTCTCTTTTAATCTTTTACCCAACAATTGTGTCGTTTAACATGCGTTTATTCATGTAATTAATAGCAATAATTAATGTAGATCATTTGGCACATGCACATTATAAATTGGGAAAAGGTTCTATTGTTGACGGTTCTTTTATATCCATAACTAACAAAAATTAGTAGAATACATTATCGTGAACTTTGTTGCGATATTTTTTAAATATTTTACCGATAACTTTATTTTTATTATAGTTACTAAGGACACAAAACTTTGTTATTTTTTGCACAGCCATGTAAATTTACATCTTTCTCTCGCCATAAGCATGTATTTTCAGTTATTTGAAGAACACTTTAGAAAAGTTAATTACAACACAGATTTTTAACATTATTTTTGTAATAAAATATATTTACTAAAAAAAATTTCCATCATGAACGCACGAAAACTGTTGTTACATTTGACACAAATTTTTTTTTAAGTATAATAAATTTCAGGGAACTCCTATCATTCAGGAATGATGCTTTTCGTACACATAAAAATTTATTAATTGAATTGTTGAGGCAGTTCTGTTTTTTGCTCATCCCGTTATATCGTTAAAAAATTTCCTACAAAAATTCAGCCCATTTTTTTCAGCTGTAATTTTATTATATTTTGATTAAATAATACATCTTATACAAAAGTAGGCTCTAAAAAAACATAGAGTATTGGTTAAAACACAAATGTTTTAAACATCATCCATAAAATTTGACAAAACTTGAAAAACTACGTTTATTATAAAAAGTTAATCTCGAAAAATAAGTACATCTGTAAGTTTGCCATATAACTAGGTGACTCATTGCGAGCAAAAAAAAAAAATTATCCATCAGTACCCTTTATCACATGAGGCGTGCCTGGCGTAGGTGCTTAACCCAGCGTCCATAATCGTAACTCGTCTATATTATGCCCATCAAAAATACATTATCAGATTAAGTCTTTTTAATCACGTAACCGGTCGTTCGTCCGAAAAACGCTGGCTCGAGGACGGCAATTATGACTTTGATGTCAGGCACTAAGTAGCCCCAGTCTCGTTAATCTGGATAAAGTGAAGCGGCATGTACTGCAGCTTGACCGGGGCTTCAAGCTTTGCGGGTTCCACCGTCACGTCACCAGCTCCGCCAGCGTCATTGGTGGTGACACTGGCAACAATTGTCCCACTAGCACCACCACTACAGCTGCTCAGATTCTTGCTCCTCTCGCTGCTGCTTCGACTGCTCCCGGCACTACCACCGCTAACGCCCGCACTAGCGGCTCTCTGGTTATTGGTGATGGTTAATCATTGATTCAAGTTTTGGTGTCACCATCAGGGTCGATGGCACGCGAGTAGTCGAGCAGGCGGTTTTTGGTGCAAGATATATATTTTTTAAACAGGTGCGTGCGAGAATAGTTTTTACAGGCGTGGAGGTGGTGATGGTAGTAGTGGTGGTGGTGGTGCGTGTCGTGGTTGTTGGCGTGGGAAGGTTTTTGCGCAACGAAAACAGAATAAAACAGAAAAAAGACAAGACCAAATTTAATTATGCATATCTTAAGTTTGTGTCTTTTTTTAAAATTTTCTTCATAAAAAATATACTTTTTACAACACACCCATCAAATTATGTGTGCACGGTTTAACAAACGAGTATTCACATGTGAGTGGGTTACATGAATGTGGTTATGACGTAGGATTTTTATAAATTTTATCTGCACCTAAGAACCCTTTACTTATATAAAAACTAAAAATGCTTTAAAGATGAGTGTTGTAGTAAATGTTAATAGGAGAAGTATGTTTTAAGATTCAATACTAAAAAAAAATCTAAGTGAAAAGCTAACTTTAAGTAGAGGGTTATAGGTTATATAACTACTTATATAAATGTAGTTTTTTTATTATTTAATATTTGATGTTTGGTACTTTTTGAAACTTTTCAAAAAATATTCTACTTTTTAGAACTTCATTGACATGTAATCCATTTTACCATGTATGTACTATATAAAGCACTAAGGGTATACATGCAACACGCAACTATTTAGAGCCATTTTTATTCCTATGGTATTATATACAAATTATTCATAAAAATATTCTATCGCAATCTGTCATACGTATTCAAACAATGTATTTCCAAAGATTTAAATATCAGTAGAATATTGAATCAGATATATTATTTAACATCGTTCATACTCCATAACAGTAAATAAAAGCAAAAAAGAATATATTTTTAGTTATTATTACTTTCGTTTCAAAATAATACAAAAGAATCTTTTTTTTAATTATTATTATCAAGATGACTATCAGCATGTGGATGAATATAATTAAAGTAATAAATATACCATAAAAATTAAAAAAAAATAGAAATTGATGCAATATAAACAAATTAGTTTGAATTTAAAATTGTAATTCACCCCATAATATATTTTATTCACACATAGTTTTTCACTGAGACAATCCTATTAATCTTAGTATTTGTTTTGTGTAGAGATGGGATTGGATCTTGATTTATACAATTTATACAAGACTTGCTTACAATAATATACGTATACGTTTTTAATATCACTACCTCCTGAAATATTAAAATATAGTAGCAGTAGATCTTGCAATCTTTTTTTTAAATCATTTTATTTGATTAAATAAGAGTTGTATGATTAAATTTTTTAAATAAAATTTTCAGTATTCCATGATTATGTATAAACATTTTAATAATAGATATTATTACGATATTTATCTTTCTATTTCTGGGCTTAGTTGTGTGTTATGTAATTCTTTTTTCTTTATTTAGATGACTTTGGATAACTTAACTATGACTATAGTTAACCCTCTGAGGGCTTAAGTATACAGTTACCAATCACATTCTTAACCATACAAATATCTACATGACGTCCTTTTACTACTGTCGAAATTGACAAGTATCTGTTTACGATTGCATCCAGATTTTTAATTGCCTGCGAGCTTTAATAATAGCTTATAAAAACTTACTGTTAGGTTTATTTTTAAAAACCCTTTGGCAGGGTATTAATAAAGCTCAGATTTATCTCGTGAAACAACTTCATATGAATGAAACATTTTTCATGGGTTGTAAATTTTCTGATTTATACTCAAAAATAAAAATTGTAACATTCATTTCTCGAAACATTGATTGCCCCATACCTGTGATTTGTCATACTTGAGCCTCTTCCAGATGAAACCCTTTTTGTCTCCCACCGGTTGATTGTTTGAAGTCGGTACCTCACCCGCCGCAGATGACGCATTATAATTAGGATTCGTAAACGTGAGCACGTTGCGTCGATTGTTGTACATGTAGTCCTCCCGTGAGTTTTTCCGTGGACATTTCAAGTAGATGATAAAACCCACGATGATAGCAGTAATAACCAGAAGGATTATCGACAGTGTGAACATTATAGCTGTTGTTCCATCTTTGTTTGCTTTGTTAAAATCATTGTGCTGATTGCGATTACTTCCAGACGAAGATCTCGGTGTAGGCGGAATATCCTCGTCATCGATGAGATCATAACTCGAGTCGTTTTCCGTTCCTGGTTTTCTTAATGGCACCCATTTTTTTGGCACTAGAATCAGTAGACAAAAAAAGAAATTTACCTCTCGTTTGTCAAGCAAGACAATTCAGTGATGGTATAATCTTTCAAACCGGTATAACAAGGTTTAGAGTCTGGCTGATCGGGGCATCCACAGGTGTAATTTTTCCTCGTAAAAAAGCATAAATGACTGCAGCCCCCGTTTCCCACAGCGCAGGGCGTCCATCCAACTTGTTTTTCTGCGGATACGGTACGAATTTCAGTTGTTCCATTCACTGTAGAGCGAATGAGATTACGGTTTTTTCCTGTACGCTTGTCAGCTTTTTCGATCATCTGTTTGAACCAGTCTCCCCAGTATATATTATTACCGTACTAAAAAAAAAAAAAACTTTAATTAGCATTTCATTTCCCCTACTTGATTTGTAAATATAACAAAAAGAAACAGGCTCAAAGTAAAATAAGATTAAACCTGGGCTAGACCGAAGGCACCAGAAGCTTCGGGAACCAGTGCTATCCTGTATCTCCCGTGTAGGTCGGATACTTCAATCCTATCTTTCAGCGCATCTGCCCAATACAATTTTCTAGCTGCGTAGTCTATCGTTAAACCATTTGGCACATTTAAGTCACTTGATACAATAATTCTTCTATCGCTGCCATCTAAATTTGCGCGTTCAATTTTTGCATTTTTAGTCCACTCGGTCCAGTATAGGTAACCCTCTTTCGGAAACAAAGCAATCGATCGCGGTTCGCTGAGATTTTCAATGAGTTTCTTACGATTAGAACCATCTAATCGAGACACTTCAATTCTTTTGAATGCCATATCGGTCCAGTACAAATTGTTCGCTATCCAATCGACAGCTAGTCGAAATGGACTCGAATTGTTGGAACCTCGAACTATTACTTTGTCATCGTTAAAATTTTGTAAATTGATTTTCCTGCAAGTAGTATTTAACAGAAATTAAATTAAAAATTTTTTATTTCTCAAAAATCATTTATAAATATTAAATTAGTAATACCTTATAACTTTTGCGTCTGTGTCTGTATAAAAAATAAGTTGCTTTTCGTAATGAAAGTCAACTGAATAAGCACTGTGATTGCGCTGAACCGGTATTTGCACTTCCCACATTTCTGGAGTATCTAGCGACATTCTTACTAAAGATTTCTTTGTTGCCAGTAATAAGAAATTTGTTGGCGAACTGTTGCACGTTCTCTTGTCGCTTTTTATGATAATACCAGTTGGACAAGCACAACTAAAGCCATTAGGGTTCCTCAGACATAAATGAGAACATTTACCATTGTTTCTTCCACAAGCGTTTTCCGGATGAACTTGATTTTTCTAAAGTAAATTTAATAATGTTGCCGAGGAAATTCAAAATTTAATTATTTTAGTTTATAAAAACTTACGTCCACAAATCGCAAGTCCATGATACCCTCGAGATCCGACTGCACCATCTTTTTATTCTTACCGTCACTTTTCTTCGCTCTCATTAGTGATTTTTCATGCCAATCGCTCCAATAAAGAAAGTCTTCGACCACAGCCAGTCCGTAAGGATGACTTACCTTATCCACAATGAGTTTGCGATTCTCGCCTTGAAGATCCGAACTTTCAATAACATTCTTCTTGGCGTCGTTCCAGTAGATACGATCAGCAAACAAGTCTATTGTCAGACCATTGGGCCAAGTGAGATGCTCTGTTACAATTGCCGTACGGTGTTCACCATCCATGTCAGCTTTTTCGATTCGAGCATGATGGCCCCAATCCGTCCAAAACAATAAACCAGCCGGATAGTGTAGGGCAATGGCACGTGGATTTTCCAGACCTGACCATACAAGTACTTTACGGTTCTTACCATCGAGCTCACTCACTTCAATACTATTAAGACCAGCATCAGTCCAGTATAGCTATCAAGAAATGAAAATGATTTAAAATGGTTACAAATATGTATCTAATTGATACGAATTGATTTACATACCTTCCTACCAACTGAATCAACGGCAATACTGTCAACGGTGTCGATACAACATTCAACTACAGTCTCTACTTTGTCCCCTTCAAATGACGTTTTCTTGATTACTTTTGTAGAGAGTTGACCAGGATCAGTCCAGTAAATGTTTCCTGTCTCTAAGTCAAAATCTGCTCCGCTAACATTTCTCATGTGGCTTACGGGCAATACCGTATCAACTGCATAATGCGTATCCAAAGAAAGAACTCTGATGTCATAACGATGTGACATCAAGATAAACTTTGTAGGTGTTTTTGGACATGTTTTTTTATCAGCCTAAAAAAATGCATAAAAATTGAACTTTCTGAATTTATTACTTTTTTAAAGCTTATTCTTTCAAAGTTACCTACTTTTATTACAAGACCAGTTGGACATGAACACGTATAATGTTTAGGCTCAGGAGCTGGTAGACAAAGATGAGAGCATCCACGGTTTGAAGGATAACAATGAGATTTCGAAGGTGGATCCGAATCTTTGTAAAGGACACGAACGTCCATAAGTCCTGAAACTTCGGACCGTATGGACGTGACGTCTTTACCACTATCCTTATCTGCACGATGTATAGCTGACGTTTTCCAATCGGTCCAATAAATTTTGTCTTTGTAAATTACGAGACCGAAAGGATGCTTTGCTTTAGCTGGAAAATTAGATTTTTGTATCCAATCGTTTTAAATAAATGGTTTATAGCTTTATAAATTATAGTTTAAAATAAACAGTTTATAGAAGAAAAATGAAAATACTCACGAGGTGAAATAATTGTTGTTACGTGTTTGCCATTAAAATCAGAGTAACTTATCGTTCCACTACCACCATCTGCCCAATACAAACGCTTCTTTTCGAAATCAATTGCCAAACCATTAGGAAACGTTAAATTTGCGCTTATAAATATATGTCTGTTTGATCCATCCATTCCTGCAACTTCAATCTTTGGGCTCTTTCCCCAATCACTCCAGTACATGAGACCATCTACAAACATAAATATGTAGTTAGTTTATTGTATCTACAGAAAGTTTTAACAATAATGATATAGATAATTATACGATCAAGTTTCGTGCCTTTTGGATGTAGAACGATGTCCCGCGGCTTATCTAAACCCTCCCAAATCAATAAACTCCTCATGCTTCCATCAAGTTGTGAGCACTCGATTCTATTAGTTCCAGCATCAGTCCAATATAACTTACGTGAAGCAGAATCAATCGCCAGACTAGCTGGGGAGACTGTAATGCAAACAGTTTTGCCATGAGTTGTACACTAATATCTTTAATTTACACGTAAAACACAAAATGCTCACCCAGATTATTTTTTATAATAGTCTGGCGATTAGATCCATCCAGACTAGCTCTTGAAATTGTATGAGTACTGAAATCCGTCCAATAGATCGTACGATTCAACGGATCCCAAGCGAGACCAACTGCACTTTCAACATTGTCCAATGGTATTACCACATCGAAAGGCTTATTCTGATCCAAACTAATCATTGTAATATCCTTTTTTCTTGCAAACGCCAATATGTTATCAACGTCGGCTTTACAGGTTTTTTCACCCTTAGAAATTTTCATACCGACTGGGCAGACACATCTGTAACCTAACGAAGTAGGCAGGCACATGTGTGAACATTTACCATTGTCATTGCCACAGTGGTTGTCGTAAGCAGGTTGACGTTGCGGATGGAAACTACGGAGATCCATAGGAAAGTGTAGTCCTGAATGGATGGTCTTAAAACCACGACCGTTTTTCTTGTTCACGAGTGAAATACTCTTAAAGTGCCAGTCTGTCCAGTAGACTGCATCTTCAAACACGGTAATAGCAAATGGATGATGGAGACCTCGGCTAACGATCTTCTTGCGATCGTCACCATTAACCGTTATGGACTCGATAACTCTGTGCTTGGCATCGATCCAATAAATACGATCCGTTGTATAATCAATGGTCAAACCATTGGGCCAATATATGTTTTCGGTTACTAGCGCTGTACGATCTGTACCATCCATATTTGCTCGTTCTATTTTAGGGGTGCCTAAGAAAATTATCAAGGTGCATAAATGTTAAATCAATTTTCATAAACAAATTTTAATACTTATTACATCGCTGTTAAACCTACCCCAATCAGTCCAATAAACGCATCCCAAGTGTGGATGAACTGCAATGGCACGTGGCTTACTCAGGTCTTCGGAGACTAATACGTAACGTAATCCTGTTTCGATCGATGCAACTTCTACGCGTCTAGTGCCGGAATCTGTCCAGAATATAAGATCATGAATCCAATCTACAGCAATTCCATCTGGAATTTCCAATCCCCAACGAATAAAATCTAAGAAAAATTATATTAGAAGATCAATCAATGAAGTATTAAACAAAAGCGTATATACTGTATTTTTATTAATTATATTTTTACCACTACTATTAGTCCCGTCTACATTAACTTTACGGATAACATCCATTGAGACGTCGGACCAAAAAATTAAATTACGTTTGTAGTGATAATCCAAACCAATTGCATTTTGCAACCCTTTAACTACCGATGTGTATTTGGGTCCACTGATGTAGAGCTAGAATATTTTAAAATTGACTTTAATTCGTGTATGAAAAATTTCTTATTGAAAAGCAAAACATAATGCTTCACATATCACCTGTCGAATGTCGATTCGATTTGCGAGAATCAAAGTGGGATTTGCTCCAATAGCCTTGCACGATCGTAAATCTGGACGCAAGACGTAACCCTTGCCACACTCGCAGTAAAAAGAACCTTGAGTGTTTACGCACTGCTGACTGCACACAGGATCCTAAATGTAAATACAACAGATGAGCTTTCACGTAATGAACATATTTAAATAATAAAATGAATTCTTAAAGTACAAACTTTTTGGAATTCACACTCATTGATATCGTCACAAGTTTTGTTGTCCTTCTCAGAAAGTACGTAGCCAGGATTGCAAGCACAAATTTTCTGATTCTCCGTGGTCATCATACATTGATGCTGGCATGCGTGATCTGCAGAGCACTGCACTTTCGTAGGACAATTTTCCTCGTCTGTAAATATCATTTTTTCTCAAACTCAATCGATGGAAATTTTATCAAAAATTCTAATAAAAATTGTCTAAACTACATTTAAGAGACACCGAAAGACGGTTCTTAAGTAAAGTTCCAGGTTGGACATTGCAATCTGATGAAAATTTTAATACAAGTTCTATACTTGCCATCTTTTTCAGGACAGTCGGGTACACCATCGCAAACGTGCTTCGAGTGTATACAATCACGAAGCGTATCCCAGAGCAGCCAAGGAGCTGTGAAACCGGGAAAACGCGCCTTTGTCTCGTTCACCACTGCCTGGGATGTTTTGCATAAGTAGTGTGTGAGCTCACAGCCTACCCGACAGTCGTGCTCGTCCTCACCGTTCGTACAGTCGGGTACACCGTCACACTTCCATGCCGCCTGTTGTTTTAAAGTTGAAAAATTAATTCGAAATACCTACATTAGTCTTATACTTGATTTTTTGAAATATAAAATTTTTATTTTTTATTTTTATGATTTACAGTGTAATTAGTTCTACAGAAACATGATTATTTATTTACCGGTATGCAATGTCCATTAGAGCACGTGAATTCATCTTTTGAGGTGCAATTTTTAATTGTTGGGTAATCGCAGTTGAGTTCGTCATCTCCATCTTTGCAATCGTTTTCTCTATCGCATACCCATATTTTACTTATGCAGTCACCATTGGCACACCTGATAGTAAAGTTATTACCATTATTATCCTTAATTCTACGAATGATCGTCAGTAAAATAAATAAATGTCTTTGATTATTTCTTTAAAAGTGTTACAATGGATGGTTGTGCGTCCCCACCTGAATCGATTAGAGGCGCAGCTGCTGTTTGCGGTAGGGCACTTCCATTCGTCACTATTGTCGCCACAATCGTCATCTCCGTCGCACCTGTACGCCATCGAAATGCATTTCGGATTATCACACTGGAATTGGTTTTGATTGCATTCCACTTCTACCTCTAAAAATGTAGCGTATTCGATATTAAACGCCCGACTACCCTTTGGTTTTGTCATGCGAATTCATTTGAAATATTTAAATACCACATTCTAATTCGTCCGATCCATCGTTGCAGTCTCTTTTCCCGTCGCATCTTTCATTTTCCGCGATACATAGTCCGGTGTCTTGGCAAATGAAGTCCGTATCAAAGCACATGCTATTGCAAAAATGAAAATCGTCAATGTCTAAAGTACATTTCGATTGTTAAAAAGTAAAGATCTTGGGCTTATTCAGAAACAGGAATGACCCCGAAAAACTGCAAGACTTACAGTTAACTAAAGCGCCGTAGAAAGAAAAAAAAAAAACATAAATACGTTGGGGCTTCAATCCCGCAATTTGCCAGACGGCACGAGACTATATTCACACGCTGTTGTCCAGTGAAATGCACGAAATCTCCGACATACTAGTGAGTGTAAAATCCCAGCTTAACCCACCTTTCTCTCTCGCTCCCGATTTTTCCGCAATGACGTGTACATTGCACGAAATAGGGGAGATAAAAGTTTAGTCTGCCGTTGCTATTGTTCGCTGTGCACCATTTTTTTCGGATTACAACAATACGTCTCGGCAGTATATTTCTGCGCAGATGTCTCGCTCGATGGTACAACACACCCGTGCCTCATCCATGCGCTTTACGCATGTGCATTCATATAAATACAAAAAGAATAAAGGAGGAGAGTCTGGAGAGCGGTGGCTATTGTTGCTGATGTGGCAGAGATTAAAACGAAGGAGGAACGAACTCTGAGATTCAAGTATTTCGTATATATACATGAGCCGAGTGAATGTGTCAAAATACAAGAGACACAAGTATAATATCCTGAAGAATCTAGAACTTTTTCCGATACTTGAATCGATAATTAATTATATTTATAACTTTGTTATTTAGCCAATAGAGCGTAGAATTGAAAAAAAGAGAGAGACTTAATGTTCTTATTTCTTTTTACCGAAACTGGCTTGTTAAAAATAATGTCTGGATTAAATATAATCAGCTCAAAAACCTCCTAGAGAACTAAAAAAATAAATTTTATTGTCAAATAATCTATAGCCATTTTTGATTAATCAATACTTATAATATCATGCACTCGGATGTTTGAACTTGGAAAACGTACTTTCAACAGTGCCAAATAAAAAAAGTAGTACTCCTTTGTCCCGGAAAATACTCGGTACGTACAAAAAAAAAAAAAAAAAGTAAGCCATTCAATGTTAAAACACAAATGATCACATTACCCGTGCCATTGAGATACATCAGTCAAGACTAATGAAAAAATTCTGCCTACGATGGATTTTAGTCATTATTCTCCAAGTGAATAACCGTGTGTTAAATCATGTTGTAGTAATTACGAGTAGGGAAATTTTAGGGAAATTGGTTGATTATTGTATCCCTAGATCAGACTATGTGTTTGCTACGTGTGTGGAATTGTTTGTGGATCAACAGTGTAGGAGAAAGGACGCCAGACAGGGCGCAAGTCTTCAGGGGGATTAATGTGTTATTCATGTTTCGGCTGTCAGCACTGTAGGGGGATATTGATGCGGCGATCCTCGGGGTCCCCGAGCAAAGGTGGCACGTGTAATTGAGTTAGCTCAGGGTGTACTTGCCACTCCCTACTAGTTAAACAATGTTTGTATACTTTGTCAGGAAACTTACCGAAAGGATTGGGGGGAGCTAAATGGGAAATTCCTTTTTTCCATTCCACAATCAGATGTTTATCTTGGCTGTTGATTTACGTTTGCAAAGTAGGTATTGCGGAGGGAAAACACCCTTTTCTTTTTTAATTAACTCATTTGATAATTTCACTCAGAAAAGAGCTCGAGAAGTATTAATTTGTCACGCTATGGAATTCGTCCGAGAGAAAACCAGCTGTACAAAATTTGAAATATTGTATCCCAACGATGTAAAAGCTCACTTGCAGCTCAAACAAAACAATCTCTATTAAAAAAGTAATCACTAAAGCCACACGTGCGACTAGCCAAGAGTTGATGGTGTTTATATATGGCTTAGGGCTTCGATAATGGCGTGGCTGGGTATTCCGTTGTGTTCGCTTTAAAGACAAACGTCGTGCGCACGTTGGTACCCGAAGGGAAGAGCGAAGAAAGGGCCTTGATCCTAGATTCTTTTGTAACGCGACGAGTGGGACAATGAGAATCGCCAACCGAAACGAAAGAGCGGAAGTCTGTAAGTGATATTTAATACACGACAGGGTGTTGAGCGCCTTTGTTCGACCATCTGTGGGTTTTCGTTGAATGAGCTCGCATTCGTACGTGCGCACTTACCCTCGATTTAGTCAATTTCGTTTTCTTCCCCCCCCCCCAACGTTAGTAGTCGCGTGATTGGATCTTTCTTGAAAAACCTATTGTTATCTAGTGATATATTTTTTTTCCATGGCAATCATTTCATTGGATTTTACGAGCTAAATTCGCTGCTTTAGATCAAACAAAAATTCACGCGTCCAACAACACCTAGTACATAATAAGGCGCGCGTAGTTATGATTTTGTCCACGAGATTCCTTCGAAAATCGCGCTTTTTGTTAATAGCTGGTACAACATTATATCCGTACACTACATATTCGTAGCATTGAGGTAGAAAATATACGAGTAGAATGAACAAAAAAAGTAATGAAAACGCCAGAGAACGTGCACAAAAGGTGGCTGGATTTAAACTTCCCTCGGAAATGCAAAAGTAGCTCTCTACGATCCGCGATCCACGCCAATGGACGGGATAGAAAGGAAGCAATGGAAAAAAAATCAGGATTATCCGTCAATGGGCTGCACAAGTGTTGAATCGATGAACATTTTTCTTGTTTGCTGGAGCCAAGAATTAACGACCCTTGGGGGTGTATGCGCTGCAGAGCTCGCGTTGAACATCATCGTTGTCATCAACACGGGATCCTCTCGGGCCTCGAGCCAAAAAATCGCGGGGAGGTTTAACGCCATCCGCATCAGCGATTGAAATTGCGGAGAAGAAAACGCGAGAAGAGGAAAGAAAAAAAAATAACACGTCGCGGGGGTGTTCGTATATATATATATACGGCTGTCGAGTTATGACAAGTGAGGAGGAGGAAGCGGAAGCGCGAGAGGGACGGAAGCTGGGGTGGCTGCCAGGTGGTGGTCGATAGCTCCCCGCGCACTGCTGCTGCCAGCGTTGCCCTGGCAACCCACCTCCGCGACCTGGATCGCCGGTCAGTGTATATAGGCACCTCCTTCTCTCTCTCTCTCTCTCTCTCTCGTAGAGCACGTCTGGTGTGCCTGTAGATGTGTAAACACGCATGGGTGGGCAGAAGAGGGGTGCCCTGTCTGTGTGTACTTACATTTTTACCTCATTCTATGTAGGTCTCTGGCTTCTTTCAGCGGCCGGCGAATTTTTCTTTTTCTTCGTTACTACCGCATCGCTTCGATTGCATTTCATGAGGAAGGAGGGCGGGTCGCGTTGAAGTGGATCGCTCAGTTTGATCTGTTTTGTGAAAGTTGCTCCGAGGAAAGATGGAAGTTGAGGATATAGGCAGTATACGCGTGTCGATAATGGGGGTAGGAAAAATGGATTTTTACCCATACGATGTCAGTGCAGTGGTGAGTAAGAATGGGAAATAAGAAAATTTATTCGTGTTTTTCGCTCTAGAATGAAAAAGCTGTATGGAAACGTTGAGTTTCTAAAACTTCTGGGTATACCAGATCTCCTATATATTTACGGTAAGGGTTGTTTTGCAGATAAAAGAGTTTCTTTGAATAATCAGATATCAGTTGGAGCTTGAATTTTAATTACCTATTGCGATTATTTTTGTAGTGACTATAAAATGTTTGTCGAGCTAAAAAAGAAGGGGGAAAAAAAAACTTTTGGCCCGATAATTTGTTTAACTTCATAAATTGATTAAAGAAATTGTTCAGCTGCATATACTCTGATTCTGATCTCAAATCGAGAGCTAGAGCAATTTTCGAGCAACGAAATTGCCCTTTGCAAGATAAACTTTTTCATCAAATTACCCAACAACGTTTTGCTACGAATCTAGGGAACATATTTACTTTAATCTTCAAATAATATTTATTTTAAATTGAAAAAAGATTAAATCTATACTTATATAAAGCTCAATTTTATTTACAATACTACAGTTTTCGTGAATTTCGTGGATAAAGTTAGGTCAAACGAAAAAAAATCGAACTCGTTGTTCAAGTACTTAAGTACCCTGTTATCGGTTATGTAAACAACCTGCCTAGCAACGTACCCATCACCAATCTCTTCAGTTTTTTCGCTCGTCAAAGAGACGACTGGACGCTCCATCCCCTTCGTTTTGTACCTCCTACTCATCCCCGTTTATATCATAAAATACATCTTACGCGTATAAGATGAAGTGAGAATCTTACAGCGCGATGCTTTGCTCAAGGCTCATTGTTTTATTCCAGCTAGCTGATGGTTTCTCGGAAGCTTTCAACATTTTTTTTTGGCCTCCGTGGAAATTGACGCGTGCACCAACTGGAGCGCCGCTACGTAGCATTACTAAAGTCCCCCTCTTGTGTTTCATAAACTTTGAAATCGTTCAAGGGCGTTTTCGTCGGATTTTTTTTTTTTTTGTCTTTTTCATCCCCCCGCTCCTCTCGATTGACCCAGTGTTATATATTGGATTGGCGCACGTGCCGGCGGGAGGACGCTATGCGTGAAAGCGATGCGAGTATTAAACTTCGGATCAGACTTTGTTTTGTTGTGTGTGTGTTTTTTTTGTCTTGCTAGATTGTGTTTTTTACGTAAATACTTTTTTTTTTTTTTCCCTTGATGACTGACGTTGTTGGGTTTTATCAAAGTGAAAAAAGCTAACAAATTGGTATTGGCACAGGGACGAAATATGCATTTTTAACCACCGCCGAAATGTGTGTTTACCGCATTATTCTAACTTTCATTGAAGCGTGTTTGTTCTCATTTGTTTGAGTGATATTCCAGACGACGCCGAGGGGGATACCTATATATGATACATTTTTACATCCTCTACTTTACGTATTTGTTCATGAATTCTAGATCGATATTTGCGATTTTTCGTAGAATCAATCGTAGAATTCAAAGCTGTTTTGAAAAAAAACTTGAGATTGTTTCGATGACCAAAAGACGATGAGCAATATATTAGACGTGCATACAAAACTTTGATGTATTTTAATGTTTATAAACCTGTAAAGTCAACCTAACTTTGTAAGCTCTGTGATGACCAAGTTACGAGATGCATCGTCATTGCAATGGAGTAAGAAATGAGCGAACAAACGTACGCTCGATTAATCACTTACTACTGCGCCACAATTGTAACCCATCGAGCAGCCATCCCAGCTCAAATATTCCATCCACCCCCTTACACGAGCATATGTTGAATGACCTTTCGATACTTCTACCAGTGTGTCCCGCTTGGATGCTGCTCCCAAGGAAAACTCTATACGAGCAAAGCTCGCTAAATTTCCTAGCCAGTCAAAATGCGGCAATAGGGAGCATATATATACAGGGAATTGAGAATGAATGAGCGGAGCGAGAGAAAAGACGAAGGGAGCGAGAGGGTCGTCTGATGCCTTTCTCCACGTTCGCCCGTGTGCCCACGCGTATACCGCTGAGCGAAGGACTTTGCGTGGGCGAAAAGGGAGAGCTGGGGGGGGTGGCTCTTACCCCACGCGTTAATTTTCTCTTTACCCTCCTTGGGTTCTTACTGTGTGGGACAGCACTACCACGACCATTTTTTTGCGACGGCAAGTGTTGCGCGCAAACCAAGTCAAGGAAGTTTTGCGTTTTTTTGTTGAAAGTCGACCGTTCTCCCTCTCTCTCTCTTCATTGTGTGAAAAAATGAGGGGAGGGGAGGAAATCTTCTCAGTTACAGAGAAAGGGAGCGATTAAATTCGATCGTCGTGTTGGCGATGTTACGCGTATGTATGACAAAGATAACTAGGTGGGACGCGTGGGAGCGCTGATTGGCATGACTTATCGTGATTGACTATCGGTCTGATCGCGCCGTTCCGATATGCCGAAGGTCGATTCGGTGATCGTTGATGGTATACATCATGTAGCCGTCCACGCGTTGTGGATTTTAACCCCCTGCCAGTTCTCGTTCTATTGACTCGATAAACATTTTGGCACCTCTCTTCTCTCTTATTAGTTATTAGTACTTTAATGAATAACTGGAATTTTTTTGTAACTCTCAAATTCTAATGTTGTGTGATACATTACGTTTAAATGGTAGATTTATTTCTTGAGTGATACGGATGGCTATTTGGGAGTGTAACTATACGGTTACAACTTATTACAAGTAAACAATTTTGTAAAAATTTTAATTTACATTTTTCACTTTATTAGGTGTGGCTTATCAAGTTCCGATACGTGTCAACTTTTTGTAAAGGTGTGATTAATGTCGATTTTTTTGACAGTCGATTAAAGTAGGATGTTTATCAAGGTTCTTTTTGTACGCTATTTCGAAAGTAACATTCATAATAATGCTCGACTCGGATGATACGTGTTTTCATTGAAACCATTACAACGAAACTCATTATCGTATCTGTCAATTACAAGATATTACTTCATTTCGTGTCAAGAGATGGAGATATTTTTGCATTTCATGAACCCGCTCAACGTTTAATTTACGGGAACTCATTATTATTGAAACTAAATTTACAGATCTATCAGAGCGAACAACATGTAGTCAATTTTCAAACTAATTTTTTTTTTTTTTTTTTTTTTTGCTCGCGTTGATATTTACGTTTATAATTTGATTGAAGCCGACTTACTTTTTTCTGTCGCAGTTTTCCTCGTCCGAAAAGTCTTTGCAGTCATTTTCGCCATCGCAAACCCAGTCCAACTGAATGCACATCCCGTTTCTGCACTCGAATTGTTGCGAAGTGCAGTTTTTTTGCGACTCACCTTCACGTAATTAAAAGACAACCATAAATTAATTTCGTTTGTAGAATGCACTCGATTTGCAAGACTTTTCTTCAAGATATACGTTTGATTTCTTTGATATCTCGAGAACAATTAACTTCTAGTGCTTGCAAATTGTGTATTCTCATAATTGAAGATTCATCAAAAAGTGATGGGTAAACTCACCACAATGGGTTTCATCGGAGTAATCACCACAGTCATCGTAACCATCGCACAGCCACTCTTTAGCAATGCATTTACCAGAAGTGGGACACTTCACGGATCTTTTGCCGGTGCAGGTGGCATTGTACACATCGCAGTGTATTTCGTCATCGGCTCCCTCGCAATCGATCTAAGATCATAAAGTTATTGCTTATAGGTGCATAAACGAGTATTTTTGCTAATGTTATAAAAATTCAAATATCAAATAAATGTTTCGCTAAATTAAAATACACGTGTATAGAGAAAAGCAACAGCTTACTTCTCCGTTACAACGATCTTCGATGGCGATGCAGGTGCAGGTGCTCAGGCACAAGAACTGATCATCCGGGCAGAGGCAAGCCAAGGAACTCTCGTCGTCCAGCTCGTGCACCGCAGACTTGCGGTCGGTATGTAATCGATCTCCGGCCTCACCGTGCTGTCCCATTCCGTGGCCGCGCTCCGAACCCATGCGCACACGAGCTCGATACTCTTCCAAACCTGCTTTCAAAACTAATTTTATGTGATAAGTTTACGCAATCCTTCAAACAAAAAAATCAACAAGAGGCTTCGATACAGATATAAAAAAAAAAAAAAAAAAAAAAAATGGAGTGACAAGTTGTACCTCCATCAAAGCCACCGTACAGTCCGGGACTGCTGGGATGCCTGCCTTGGCCATACATTCCACTCATGCCGTTTTGGGGCCGTCCAGGAGCACCGTTTCTAAAGCTTGGCAACTCACTCGAGTCGTCATCGGCGTTTTCATCGTCGTGGTCGTCGTCGTTGTCAGGCTCGGGTAGTGGCACGTGATGGTAAAAATCGAGTGGCAACTGCGGAGGCGTCTTGGGTCGATTGTAATCATCGTACCCGTAACCACTGGCTGAATCGTCAACGCCTACGGCATTACATTGTGTATTTTTACTATTGTTGTAAATACTCATAGTCTTTTGTTTAAAAATTTTATACTGCATATCACTGAGCAACCCAATTCTTTGAATCAAAAAAAATTTCTTTACCCTCATTCCGTTAAATATTTTCTTATGAGTAAAAAAATATAAGTTAATTTATTAAATTAAAATTTTCTTTTTTTAATTACAAATTTCTCATTTAGTTGTACGAAATGTTTTTTTGGATCGACTAAATTTGTTTCAATTAAAAGAAAATATTTAACGGAATGAGGGTAAAGAAATTTTCTTTGTTTCAAAGAATTGGGTTGCTCAATGAGATTAATTTAATGGCAATCTCCAAAATCATGAACCAATTCATCGAAAAACAAGTAATGCAGTCTTTGCCTGACTGTACGTAAAGGATTAAATTGTATCTATATTTTGAATTATGTATCAAATTTTTGTTTATTTAATTATTATGGGTACTTCATCGTGCAGTAAAAAAAAAAAAAAACTGTCATTTCGTACTATAATAAAACTACTTTACCGTGATGTCCATTACGACTCCTGTCGTGTCCGTGATCGTGTCTGTGATCGTGTCTCTGATAGTTGTCACCGTCAAAACTCGTGGGTGACATAGTACTGGTAACCATAGTTTGGCGCAAACTGCCGCTCCCAAACATTTGCCGAGCCGCCCCTCGATTGACCGGTGATGTCGTCGACAACGACGAGTCCGTTTGCGCGTCAATATCTGCGAATGTTTTTATTTCCATGTAAACATTACGTGCTCGGGAAATCACTTTGTGGGTGGAGCCCGTTTAAGAGACCCTATTGATAACGTATCAAGAGTATAAAAGAGTCAGCTTGTTGACTCGTTTGAATGGATTAACAAACATCTCGGCACTATTAATAATTGGCCCTTTGGTATATGAGAGTAACGATACGTTCGGATTAATTATGGCACTTGCCATCGCATTAAGTACTTGGGATTGATACCATATACATCCCTTCCATTCAAGCATTAGAAAAACCTAACCAGACAACACTTATCATCGCGATTTTCAAAATAAATCGTGCATTAATGCTACTTAAATCCCACGTATAGCCAGAACTAGGTAATTATGGGTAAAACGAGATGAAACACACAATATCGAGCACTTCAATGGAGGACTATAAAAATGGAATCAGTCGGCGATTCGATCGGTGCTGATGCATGATTGTCCCGTTTGAGTGGCTCCATTGACGCATCCCACACACGCGCTTGAATGAGCGACAAGAGTATTTCCGAGGTGTCCATCATTTCGATCCGCGTCCGGATTACGTCTCAGTGAAACCCTCGACAACTCAAAATATTAGGGAGAAAAATTGCAAAGAATACACATGAATGGAAACGCATTTACTCGAAACAATGGGAAGACACTTTACGCGCATGTACTAGAACATTTCTTTCGAAAATTTTTTTTTTCATTTTTGGACTGAAACCTGCCTTTTTTATAATTTTCAAACAAACATTTTTTTAGAACTCCTTACGACAGTTATCAACGCATTATCAGGGTTTCGGTGGAACATCTCTGTTACGATGAATTTCGATTTAATTTTAATATTGTCATCATTAATGGTGTCAAAATGATTTCTCAATAGTGTCCCTTCCAGTCCCTTGATAATACACTTTGCATTTTGCATCATCCTTTGCTCGAACTTCCTCATAATAAAATCGCGTGTAACAAAACAACCAAAGTACTTTGTTTTGTAAAGGGAAAAAAAAAAAAAAAAAAAAAAAAAAAAAAAAAAAAAAAAGAGTAGCCATACCATCACCGTAAAAAAGGGAGTGTTCCTCGTCCGAGGCGTGCACTCGTTGCTCCACAAATGCCAGAGGACGCGCAAAGCCCCGAGAGTATAAGTATACAGATACACGAGGCGAGCCCTCTATCCATGAATGACTCTCTGTCTCCCCGCAGCCGCATGGACGCGTGTATGTATACACATATATACACATACATAAGCGCCAAAGGTCAAAGGAAGGGGAGGGGGAGCGTTTTTCGTTAGCCGAAGGATACAACGACATCAGCATCCACGAGAAGCGTCGGGGGGTGGCGCACGCGGTGTGGGAGGAAAACGGGAGGGCGCGCGTGGAGGCGTAAAGAGCCTTTTCATTCAGCAGAGCACGCGTGCGCCCCATTGGGAGATCGATATTGTACGCGCGCCCATCGACAGAAGGAAGAGAAGAAAGGACACACAGCCGAAACGTAGGTGTAATGTACATGAGTGTACACATGGAAGCGCATTCTTATACATATATATGTATGTACCCGTGTCGCTGTGATTTTCGAGCTCGCGGTTTCCTCGAGGGAATCGACGAGAGAGTCTCTCTCTCTCTCCTCCTTCTCTTTGTTGTGTAAATATATACGTGTGCGTACGGGGGCAAGGAAAAAGGGACGCTCGAGTTTTCGAGGGGGCGGGTGGAAAGTGGAACTTGAGCGCGTGGGAAAAGATATTGAAAGGAGGAAGAGGTAATCTCATAGACGATGATTAAGCACATCAGGCGTACTTTTACGTTCGGCCCTCTCGCGTTCGTTTGGTTGATAATGGGCGTTTTTCTACAGTATACAATATAGATGGTATGGATGCTGTTGGTAATTGTAATGATAATAATATTAAAAAATAATTGTTACAGCCGCGGTATTTTTGTACATTTCCAATTATTATTATTAACTGATATTATGTGGAATTCAATCAATGGAGGGTGCGAGAATCGGTTTGATCAAAAACATGTAATTTTAACCATGACCATCTGGCTGATGGATGTTTCGTTTGTTTGTCATGCGATAAAACAAGTATATACCTACTGTTGTCAATTTTACAATCCACGCTTATCATCAACTCTGCGATTTTCATGTGATTTTCTATTTTTACGCTGAACTTGGGTTTATTCGCTACTTTTATGTTCTTCGTTATCGTTTATTCGATTTGGTTTTGCATCGGTTTTATTAATTTACAAAGTCTCGGTAATTAAACGTGGGTAGGTCGATATCGGGAAGCGTAAAGTTTTTGCAGGCTTTATAACAATGAGAGGTCACGTTGCGCCTTTGTAATGTTTTTTTTCCTTCCTTTTTTTTTCTATTTAAATGAAATTTCATCGTATGAATTTAATATTCGCTTAATACATTTAATTAATCTTGTGATACGCCAAAAGAATGAAAATAACAATTTTACTTCGTGAATAAATCTTCTCGAGTTTCAATGGTTTTTTTTAATTTATTTATTATGTGTAGGACATAAATATTAATTAAATAAAAAATTTAAAAAATACCCTCATACCGAGGCATCCAATTCACGCACATGGGCATCCAAACGCGCGAAACACATTCCACCAAAAGTGCGGTACCAGCCCGCGATCCGTGAACCGTAATTTCGACTTGCTTGTTCCACCGAGTGGCTGCTGCCTATGTACGATATACCGGCGTGCAAAGGCTTTGTTACGAAACCACGCGCGACTGCATTCGTTCGTACCTTTTGTCCCTTAAAATTTCAGTCGCGTCGCGGCTCGAGTCGGAATGCGTCTCTAATTAAAAATCTACGTGACAATAATAGAGAACTTTTGCTGTGGGGACAGAGAAATTTCTGCACCCCTGACACAAAGAGGACAAAACACAGAAATTAATAGTTAAAAAAATAAAGCGTGCACATGACCGTGTGTGAAACAAAAAAACTTTTCTTTCGAAGAGCTTAGGAAGGGGCGTTCGAAGGACTGGTAGACGCGCCCTGAGCGGAGGAAACAACCTTCGACACACTGTCTGCCGTTGATTTCTCGTGGGTGGCTCTCTGTCTTTCTCTCTCCCTCTCTCTCTCTCATGCGTTCAAGTTTACAAAAGGAGAGCAAAAGTAATAACGCGCTTGACCCACCCTCCGTTTCCTCTCTTGCTATCTTTTTCACTTTCGTGTTTTTTTTCGTTTTTTTTTTCCTCCCTTGGCTTTATTTATGAAGTTGGCAAAAAAAGGACTCAGAGTTAACGTAAGGACGTTTGATCGGAAAGTTTTCAATGAGCGAATTTTCGTTCAAAAACACCAGCCAAAGTATACACATAGATTATTATCCGTTTTTTGTTGTTGACTAACAGATCATTGGGATTATTTTTTTAATTAGCTTGTATCGAATGATTGACTAATTTATACGTTGACGGCTTCCAGTACAGTTTGTGAACTAAAAGGATATTAATTCCAATTGTGGATCAAAAAGTGATTAGTCATGTGAAGGATACAATGACTGGAATCAATAATAAAAACTTTCTAAACGTAGTTTTACCAGATAAAAAAGCGTAAAAAGTTATATTTTCCAACGGGTATCCATTCAAAAATCACATTTTTAGTACACTATTGGGTTATTTTCCCAACCAAAAATCAATCCGTCACTATTAATCAAAGCAATACTTTACTGTTTACTTTTACGATACACATTGGAAAACGTGTTTGCCTATCTCTGCTTCCGACATGTGAGAAAAAAAAAAAAAAAAAAAAAAAAAAAAAAAAAAAAAAAAAAAAAAAAAAAAANACAATAAATGACAAATAGAGTGTGATGTAATATAAAATATTGTTATTAAAGGTTACATCATTTAATAAAGTCATTAAAAAAAAAAATAATAATAATAATAATTGCCTTCCGCAGCAAATTATTATAAATATCATCGAGTCATGTAAATATAAGAGAGGAAAAATCAACGAAGCTCTGCAAAAACAAGCTCCCTCAATCGGCAATGGTTACAGAGTAGTAAACCAATCCTCGTTAATCAGTAGTACCCTCGAAAAATCAATTGGCCCTGAGAAGAGGTCTTATACGTATGTACTACTGTTTCAAAACGTCAAGAGAGGTATGGTGCGATATTACACATCTTGAGCTTGAAGCCCCTTACACATTATACGCGTATACGCTCACGAGAACACGAGAATCTAAAGACAATCCAAGCACGTCACGAGAAATACTCGAACACCCTAAGTAGCATGTAGATAGACAGCTCGCATTGCAGATTTTGAGCTTACATAGAGTCGTGGTAATACATCCAACGCCCGAACTATACATACATGTATACATTCACGAGCTGAATTTTGCTACGGAATTTCCTACGCGCAATACGTGTTTCCACCCTTGAGAATATATGCCGAAGCGATGCTGAAGCTCCGTATTGCTTAATACGCGATGAAGTAGCGAGGAAAGCTCATTGCGAGCGTAAATCATCGAAGCACTCGACCAGTGATGCGTGTGTAATTCCTCTTGCGCGTGTAGTGTCGACGAATATTATATCGAGAAGTGGCATGACTTTGTAGTGTTATTTGTTTATTTTATTTTATTCTATTTTTTTTTTTTTTTTCTTAGCACTTGATCGTTGTAAGCGTAAACGACTGCAGTTTGTGCGACGGATGAGTTCATTAGTACTTTGATCTGCTGTGAGAAGAAAAGATAAACATGAGATAAAGGTGAAGGATATTCACGTGTTTATTTGTTATTACTGCTGCTCTTGATTCAAACAAGTTAATGAACCGTTGGACAAATATTACTGTAAGGTATTGCGTGTATTTACCAGTAGGTCGGTGTAGCTCACGAGGGTGACAATGTGTTTTTGGATTAATGCAACTGAATGACGAATTAATCACAGATGATATTAGAATGTGTAGAAGAATTTATGTATGGAACGACTGATGAATGGCATATCTTTAAAACAAAAAGTTTAATCGTAACATACATATATAACGTTACGTACGATAAAGTTTCGTGTTTAATGCCTTATTGTCCTGAAATGTCACATAAAAAAGTTAGAAAGTCACTAAGTTTTTAGCATGAAGACAAAGTTATTTAGCAAGTTTGAGCTTCAGTCAGTTTAACATTTCCAAGTAAGTTTGGAAACTCAAAAAAGTACGTACACGGTGTTAGTTACACGCATAAATTAGAATTTTTAGATTACACCCATTTTAAGATTAAAATGAAGTTTATAGGCTAAATAGACCTTTTGCTCTGGTAAAAATATGAAGCAGATAAAAATATAATTGGTAATGCCATGCATCCAAGTACAATCTGTGTTACCATACGATTCCAGTAATTGTAGCCTTTTCATGTCCATATTGAAGAAATCTTGTGAGTTTCTTAAGGTCCTTGAAGTATATCTACAAGATTTATTTAAAATTGACATGAGAAGCTGAGATGCAGCTAATTTTCAAAAAATAAAAATTTAAAGTTCTTTATTCGTGTTTTCTAAGTTTTCATACGTTTTAGCAATTTACGAAATTATCTGCACTACATGATGACATACTCATGGGGTAAAGAGTACGTGCGAACAATTGGACAAGATTACCAATTTTATTTTGTCTCACAGAAAAAGTAGCTGATACGCCACCCATTTGCAATCCATTATTGAAAAACATTTCAACAATGCACGAGCTCGTCCTCAATATTCATGTCCTTTGGTTACGTATCCCACAATCGTGAAAAATTTACTTGATAGGTCATCAAAATTTCATCACGACGCGCTTGAAAAATTCATCCTAGAAATTTTTATCTATTTGGAGTTTTGTATTTTTAATCATCCATCAAACAATTGCTATGCGCAACTTTATGTATACATCTGCATTGAAAAATAATAAAATCCGTGTACCAACATTATACTTCCGTCCAACAAATGCCTAATGAACGAATATAAAATTTCCAAAAATCAATTGCCTAAATTCTAAATTTACCACTAAGCTGCTCTTGAAAAACACCACCCTCTCATTTTTTGCCATTTGAAAAAAAAAAAAAAAAAAAAAATCAACGTCCCTCAATCAAACGAGCTCCACTCGAATAACCACGTAAAGCACAAGCGTGGCTTTTATTCGCAAAGCTTTCCAAAAGTCGCTCATACCATTACCGGTAACCATCTCGGCGAACAAAATGACGCAGGACAGTAATAGCAAGAGGTCACGCAGAAGAGGAACAGCAGTAGTCGACCTCATTTTGCCGCCACCTCCTCCTCCTCCTCCTCCTCCTCCCATCGTCTCGCCCGTGCAGCTGCTGCAGTGCCTCAACCACACCAGCACTCGCGCACGGCAAACACAAATATTAAAAAACAAGAGATAAACCACCACGTAGACCGTTAACACTCCCCGAGCGCACAGTCTACAGCATCCCCACTCCTGAGATTTTTGTTTTTGCACAGCCTCTCCAATCTCAAAGATATATATACTTATAAGCAGAGCCTAAAAGCTCACTCGGGACGAGCCTCCTCCTCCTGCATATCTCCGTGGTCCCGCACCTGCGACGGAGCACCTGCACTACCCTCCGCGGCTAACAACCCCTCCCCGGCTCTCATATTTACCGCTGTCGCGTTTTTATTTATTTTCTGTTTGTCTCTCAGATTATTATTGTTTATTCGTCCACTGGATTTTTCTTCTCACTCGCCGCCTCGTAACCGCGAGCTAAACAAGTTTTCTTCCCTCCTCCTCACCCACCTTCGGCACCGCTCATCTCGCACGTTCACAATAAGCGCGCCCGCGCCCACTCGTAATCTATACAAACACGCGTGTCCACCTCCTCCTCGCCCTACAACTCCGACTGGCTGATGCACCGCTAAATGAATATGGACATGGCCGTGTAGCGGGGGAGGGCTCGGTGTGGCCTTTCTTGCGGCGTCTTCGCCTGCGAGCAGCCAGCTCTCTTTCGTGCACTTTCGATTGTTGATGTCCGTATACTTGGCACCTGGGCGATATCGCGAGATGGGAATCCAGGGGGTGCGGAAAGTGACGTGTGGTCCGAGCTTACGCTGAGACTCGACTGAGTTGCTCCGTGTTTCTGGTCCCGCACTTGCCGTATTCGTCGCCTTGCGGTGGTGTACGGGTACATATAGGGGTGTGCACGGGCTGTGGGGGTTTCCACTGCGTATATCGGAGCCAGCAGCTACCCCTGCACAATTCGCGACAATAGTTTGCGCAAGCGCGCTGATTTTTCTCGACGTTGTCGCTCTCTTTTTCATTGCCGGGGAGTTGTTGTCGTACACAGAAGAGAGCACGTGTCATGGAGCTTTTTTTCCTTCCATTTCTGAATTTTTGGTCCCCCTTTTTTTTATTTACATTGGCCCCGAGAGGACGTTGGTGTGCTTTTAGACTATGGTGCGTTTGTACATGCACACGAGTCTTTATTTTCTGTCCTGTAATCATTCAAGAGTTTCTTTTATTGCAATTCGAAATTCACCTGCCCAGCCTAATTTTTGTGTTTACCAGAAACCTTAGAGCTTCATTTCTGGCTGCTTTCTCTTCTTTTTCGTTTCCTTATATAAACAAACGAGTATTTTTTTAATTATTGCTATAATTTTTCCGAGCTCAACTGATTCCTTTTTTATTGCGCAATATTTGTATTATTTTTATTTATTTTTTTTTTTTTACGGCATTTGCAAAATTAATTAATAAACGTTTGAGAAAAAATTTCAATTGATATTTTATCAACTGCTTGACCAACTCTTGAAAGATTAAAAATTTCGAACTCAAATAATGACGTAAGTGGAACGATGCTCTTTTCATCTTTTCGTCCCACCCGAAAATTTGTATATTTTCGTATGGAGCTGGTCAAAACTTTAATAAAATGACTTTTAAGTTATTTTTAAGCACTCATTACAATGAGACGTACACGACTAATTTCATACAAAAAAAAGTTAACTTAATTTTATATTCCTATTTTTTTTTTTTTCTTTTTATATAATGA